GGTAGGGCTTATATTTTCAAATCGAGACCCCTAAATTTCACCATCATCCGATTTCACGATCATCCGCGACAATAAATAACAAATCTTATAGTAAAATTTAACAAGAAATGTCGCAGCTGATGCTGAAAATAGCTGATGCTGAAATTTGAGATCTCGATTTAAAAATATAAGCCCCGCTAAAATCCACATATACTTGTTAATTATCAATTCTAACCCTTATCCATTGCCAACCCTGCCCGAGGGGGTGCATTTAGAGAGGTCTCTCTGTACACAATCACCTGCTGCAAAAGTGTTTAATGTTTATTTCGAATCAAAATTTTGTCAACGGACGTTTTACTGTGAAACAATAAAACGATGACTGCGAAATTAAATGAGCCTATGCTAAATTTGGCGAAAAATGGCAACCGTCTTTATATAGACATGCAGATTTGTGAGAAACTTTGAAAATCATTAGTGACAAACGAATTGCTTGATATAATGAATATCTAATTGATGCATAATAGTATCGACTCCTCACATAAAGTTTTTTTTTTTCTTTAAAATAATCAAAGTATGATTATAGCAATACATTTCTCGTTACTTATATATAATTTTTTATTTATCACTTTTCGTTATAATTTTTATCACTTATATAATTTATAATTTTTATATGTAAGCAAAGCTACTTGTAGTTCATATGCACGTATATGAGCACGTGACTTGACGTCACTTACTGTAATATTTTAGCTACATGATCATATCAAATCACGAATCTTATACAACAATTTAAACGATACATTGTATGTTAATGAGATAATAATAAGTCGCGCATAATTGACGTACCTTAAGATTTTTTGCGCTTCTATATTCCCAAATAGTTAGGTTTATGCTTAAAAAATAAAATAACAATGAAAAAATATTGCGTTACCTTATTTTTCTTTGCATCAATACGAGCTTGAATGTTTTCAGTCCTTTTTTGTTGCCGTTCAGCTTGAGTCTTGGCAACCGCTTTAATTCGTTCTTTCCTGAATAAAGTATTAAGACAGATGAATATCGAGTCCTTGGCAAAAAAAATTAAAAATTATAAATAAAAATCGTACCATGCCTTTTCACTACTTTTCTTTTTAAAGTTGATCTTTTTAATAGTTTTCTTTAATAATTTGGGGTCATCTTTAATTTTTTCGCCTCGTGCCTTTTGTAGAGCTTTAGACCATGCCTCATTTTCACGAAACTTTGCAGCCTAGTCGATCGACTAATAAATATTAATTAAAATTCAAAAACATTATCGTTTTCAAATTATTTACCTTCTCTGGATCTTCTTTTTTCAATTTCTCAAACTTTTCTGCTTTACTTTTTAACTAACATAGAATTTAGATTTAATCATCATTTATATCAATCAAGTTAATGAATGAACGGAATCAATACGTTACTTTATTCATCAATTGCATATTATCTAACTTTTTCTTTTTTTTATTGTTATCGTCAAATTCAAATTTGGTATACTGAATGCTATTACCATCTCCCGGTA